TTTGGAGGGTAGACCCTATGACATTATACCTGCTGAGGCCCCCCCCCCGCCCCCAATGCTGCCCTCTACAGAATCCACCCCCCAAAACTCCAGGTATTTCCCTCCTTAAAGCAGGCAACCCTACTTTCCCCTCAGTGCCTGTTGGTAGGCAACTAAGTTTGGTCCAGTCACCTACTTTGGCCTTTGGGAGAAAACATATTGGGGCAAATCCTGATAGGGTTGCCAACTCCCGATGGGAAATTCCTGGAGATTTGAGGGATGGAGCCTGAAGAGGGTGAGGTTTGAGGAGGGGTGGGACCTCAGACAGGTACAATGCCATAGACTCCACCCTCCAAACCACTCAGTCCCTCATGCCATAGACTCCACCCTCCAAACCAGCCATTTCATCTTGGGTAACAATTGTTGCCAATCTCCAGGTGAGGGCTACAGATCACTCAAAATTACAACTGCTCTTCAGGGAGCAGAGATCAGTTCCTCTGGAGAAAACAGTGGACTCTGTCATTATACCCTGCTGAGGTCACCAAAGCAAAATGACACTGTTTGCCCAAAGCCAGAGCACTCCCCCAGAGCCTCTTTCTAGATCCCGTTGTATTTATTTCCACAACGGGCTTTACTGCTAGTCAACATATAAACCAAATCCAGTATATTACAGATGGCACAAATCACTATATCTTATAGTAAACTAGCCCTGGTACAGATGACAAAAGCAGCTAAACCCAGGCCACTCAGAGACAAGAGAGTTTATTCACCCCTATCTTTTGGTCTTTCTTTCCCAAAATCAATACCCCCCTATAAGTACTATCTTACCATCCTGTGATACTACAGAACCTTCTTCTTCACAAGATTGAATATTATACCCATATTGGTTTTACAGGTGAGATTCTTGAACAGGCCCTATTCCAACAGAATTTGCCTTGTGGCCTTAATAGGATCCTTTCATGTCCTGCTTGAACGTAGGTTTTTTGAAAATAAAAGGGATCATTATATTAAGTGTTTAATTAACCAACCATCCCCTTATACTCCAGAAACCCTGACTCTTTTGCTTAGCAATTGCAAAATATGTTTCTGTCCTTTTAGCCCTTGCATCCAAAGATAAGGAATAAGTATGCTCAAGATTTATGAATCCATGAGCTTCTAAGGGAATAAAAGAAAAAGAAGGACGGTCTCTATCTACTTGTGGGACTCCCCAAGTATGCTGAAAAATATGACAAAAAAAATTTACCAAAAGGAAAAAAAACCCTTCAAAAACTGACCTGATGAGAACTAAATATTTTCCAGGTGAGACACAACACTGAAAGAAGTTGAGTGTCAGTTAAAGGGAGAAAAGGGGAGGAGAAATCAGTCACCTCAAGCCCCTGACAACTTATTCAGTTATGGAGGGAGCAATTTTGGCAGAGTAGGATTTCCAAATCATCTGTCCCTCTAGAAATTCCTCATGGGCCCTCAGCTTTTTGATTTAATAACCATACACTACTTGCTTTGAAATCATGTTTAGGATTGTAGCCAACTTGAAAAGTAAGTGCCATTTAGATCAGTCACTGTGACTCAAGATGAAACTGCATGTTACAAAGCAATCTTGAGGAGACATTCAACAGAGAGGATGGCTGGTTACTTCTTGTACACCTGCCAATTCTCCCACAAAAATGCCTCCCCATATAATTTTACATGTGTTTAAACTGGGTGGAGGAACCAGAAAAGGACCTCCCTGCTCCTGGCAGACACATTTTTGCCAGTATAACATGTCGTTCTGCCCTTACTCCCCAGTATACATGGCTAGCATTGGATGACGAACTTTCCAGGCCGGGGCAGGCTCTCGGGGGTATGGCAAATTCAGGAGGGGTGTGTCACCCCTTGGGCCCCGCGTAGCTATGGCCCCGAGCTGCCATGCCTATGTGCTCCCTCCCTCTTCCCCCTCATGCTCAAAGAGCAACTGGAAGTTTCCTGGCTTGGGAAGCCCTAGGTCAAATGGCCATGATATCTGGACTCAAGCGCCTGGGCAATCTGGAGTTTCTTTCCTCACTACAAAGCAGGATTCTAAACTGGGTATTTTTAAAATTGTATGAAAATGGTAACGTTTACACTATATAAACTTGGCAAAGAAAGGTAATAATGCATTACATGTCTCCCATAAGGTGCATCCAGGAGCTGATTTGCAAGCCTGATCGCAGCACATGAACTTCCCATTGGAAAAGAATCCCTTGTGGTACTTGTTTAGCAAATCCGGGTTGCCTTTTATCTCTGGAAATAAAGAACAGAAAGAAAGAATGCTGAATGCCTTTGCTGCTATAAAACAATAATCTTACAGAGCCACACAAACGCAGGTTTAGGATCAATTCACGCGGCCAATGTGTCATGCTGCAACTATGTACTGAGTGGATCGGTGCAGTGAAAGCTTCACTGCAAATTTTGATCACTGCACACATATTCCTTTGTATATACAAAGCTGACCTCTCTGTTGAAGTCACTGGATCAATCCTGGCATGATGGGAAACTCTACACCTACCATAGCCCTCTTTCAGTCTCAAGAAACACAGGTAGTGGGTCAGGTTTGTAGAACAAACATACCATTCAGCTGTAGCATACAGTCTGCCTCTACAAGTGATTTTACAGTTCAGATCATCAATCCATACATAACACAAAAATTATTTTTGTCTTCAAAATGGTTGCGCTCCTAAGAAAATGGTACAGGATCGCTGAAATCAGAAAGCCTTTCCCCAGTACAATATATCATTTTCTCAAAGTTTTCAATACTAGAATGCATTGCCATCATTTTGCTAGTTCAAACAAGTTAAATTACAGTAATTGTAAAGGCAATATGGTTAATTGTCAAGCATGCCAAAGTCTAACACAACACTTGGTACCTTTATGCAAAGCTTCCAGCCATTGTCTTCGACTCTCTCCATTTGCAGTATAGATGTATAACAGGCCACCTTTGTACACAACCTAAACATTGGAGAAAATTAGCCTGCAATCAACCAGTTGCAAAACAAACAAACAAACAATAATGATACCATAATACCTTACTGTCATGCCAGGTGCTGTGTGGACATTCCCACCCACCCCCGTCTCACCTGAGGTGTGGATGATACAAGCTGTAGTTTAAGCTATTGCCACTCAGATAGGTATAATTTAAGTACATAATGCTGCCTTTATAAAGACAGAATAGAAAAGAGGCAAAGACACAGATAAAGATAAATAATTTATTATATATTAACTTAGCTTCAAGATAAACATATGAAGCAGATGTCCATCAGTGGCTATTCGCCATAATGTATAGATGGAACACTCTGTTTGGGGCAGTGATACTCTGTATTCTTGGTGCTTGGGGGGCCACAGTGGGAGGGCTTCTGGAGTTCTGGCCCTGCTGGTGGACCTCCTGATAGCACCTAGGTTTTGGCCACTGTGTGACACAGAGACCGATTTCCCACAGCCGCTGCTCTGCCCTTGCTCTCCCCTTTCCCCGATTGTATGCATCAGTTTCCTACAATTTGCTGCACGGCTGTAGTTTGACCTGCAGCTTCGCCCAATTTCCCACACGTCTTCTCAAACCTGTTTTTTTGAGGATCCAGAAGATGCGGGCAAAATCGGGTGAAGCTGCGGGTCAAACTGTGGCCACTCAGCAAATAGTGGGAAATTGATGCATACAATCGGAGAAAGGGAAGAGTGAGGGCGGAGCAGCGGCTTGGGGAAAATCAGTCAGAGTGTTGGACTGGATGGGCCATTGGCCTGATCCAACGTGGCTTCCCTTATGTTCTTTTTTTTAAAATTCATATGTGTATGCGTGAGTTTGTGTGCACCCGAAAGCCATGGCGACCTCTGGTGACTAACCCCTAGTGGGGGCTTAGAGGATTTTCAGAGAGGTGGCTGAATAAAGCCTGCCCCCGCCTCCCAACTGCTGGTATTCTAAGGAGGTCTCTCATCCAAGTACTTGCCAGAGTCGACCCTGATTAGCTTCCGAGATCTGACAAGACCAGGCTTGTCTGGGCTATCCAGGTCAAGGCTGGTCTTTTGTTCTTAACAGGGTCGAGCATGTATAGCCCTGAACATTTTGGGGGCTCTGCTACAGGTTATGGTGCCTTCTGTTTATTTGATTGTCCCCCCGCCCTTGGAAATGCAGCCTCTCAGACTGCTTTATCAAAGACTCCACAGCATGAGAGACAGTAACTTTAACCCTTTCTGACACAGCCATTTGTGTACTAGAAAAACCACCCTTGAGGTACTTTTGTTCTTGCTAGAGAAAACTTACCGATACCCTTATTTTTTTCACAATTCGGGTAAAAGCAGCCAAGGGGTAGCTTTGCCCAATGAGAAAATGGCTGGGAAGGAAACTGTTACAGTCCCCCCCCCCCCTAAATCTTCTTCCTCGATAAAGCAATCCCAAAGGTTTTGTTCAGGTTATGGTGTCTTCTGTTTATTTGATTGTCCCCCCGCCCTTGGAAATGCAGCCTCTCAGACTGCTTTATCAAAGACTCCACAGCATGAGAGACAGTAACTTTAACCCTTTCTGACACAGCCATTTGTGTACTAGAAAAACCACCCTTGAGGTACTTTTGTTCTTGCTAGAGAAAACTTACCGATACCCTTATTTTTTTCACAGTTCGGGTAAAAGCAGCCAAGGGGTAGCTTTGCCCAATGAGAAAATGGCTGGGAAAGAAACTTTTACAGTCCCCCCCCCCCCCTAAATCTTCTTCCTCGATAAAACAATCCCAAAGGCTACATTTTCAAAAGAAAAAAAAAATCATAGGTGAAAATAAACACAAAAGAAATCCTAGTGTGTAATTGATCCCTTGAGCTGAGGTTAGAGTTAAATCCCAGAATCTGCTTCTTAACCAGGTGTGGGGATTCAGACTCCCTCCTGCCAGTCACTTGTATTCTCCTTCCCTCCCCATCATCTCTTATCCTTAGCTGCAGCCCATCACCCTTGGTTTACCCACGGTGCAAACACAACAAAGGTGTGGGCACAACATGGTCAAATAACCATTCCAGGAAAAACGGTAATGCCACCTATGAAATTATTTGGCCTAACTGTCATTAAAAAAAAAAATTATCCATGTAGCTATCCAGAAGTATGTGCAAAGGCAAACAAAAAGGCAATCGCACAAAGGTGAAAGCCAAAGGACAGAGAGAAGAGACTGCATAGAAGATGGATTCTGGTTGGAGCCAGGTGTAGGTTCGGGTGTTGTTACATAAAATTCAAGAAAAGCATTATACCCCACCAAACAAAGACTTTCATAAGAATCATAATGGTGATTAATGTTCAGCAAAGACAAATTTGCTACACATTGTTTCATTGGGTACTACCTGAAAGGGATACTGCCTCTCCAGAGGAGCCTGTTCTTCAGGATTTACAGTCTCAACACATCGAATGTTCTTAATTTCAATTGAACCTTTCCTGCTTCCCTTTTTCTGAGAACACAAAGTGAAGCATAGAGTTAGATACTAAAGCTCATAAAAACACACAACTTTTTAATAAGTGGAGTTTCAAAAGAGACCCAAGAGATCCCCTAAAAGCATAAATCACTTTCTCACATCTTTGTCATACTCATAGTATGAGAGGCTTGTTCTTGTCAGAACAAATAGTCGCTCTTTATAATTATTTGGGGATATCTTTTTCTTCTGCTGAGACTTCTTTACCAGCACCTCTTCTAGAATGGGTTTGTTCTCTGTGGTTTCCATCTTTGCTGTTCCTAAAATAATTAGCAAATGTTGACTGGTGGAGGATAAAACTGAGGCAATTTGTAATCAATGTTTAACATGCTGTAAGTTTTGAGTCCTAAACATAACCCTGTTTTATCATATTAAAAACATCAAAAATATTAGTATCTTAACTTGAAATATCACACCTGTAAATAGTATAACCGATTCATTTTCAAGTAAATATGGTTAAGAGTGCAGCCTACTGAAAGTAAATGTAACAAGCAAAATTCCTGCATATCGCCTAGGCTTTGTAGTACAAAACAATGGTCTTGGGCTTAATCCACATATATAACTGGAAATTTCGGCCATCAGTTTGTTCTGCCCTATAAAAGACTGATGCATCACTGTGCACACATAAATACTGAAACTGAATATAACATACTATAGTTTTTACAAACTAAACATTATATTTCTGTATTTTTAAAAAAGAACTTACGTCAATTATTCTTTCCACAGACACAGTGTCTTTCTTCATTGTAGGTTTAAGAGGAAGTATCCGTGTTCTTGTACTGTCTTTTACATATTTAGCAAATACGGAACGTCTATCAGAAATTATTTGCATGCTGTTTATACTACTCCCAATCACTTTTCTGGGAATAAGGCATCTTTGTGTTAGTGAATCCATTAAACAAACAGAAATGTTTCAGTAGTTGAGTTTTACTCTTTGAATTCTGCGAGTTATCCCCCAAAATTGGCTTCATTAAATGTTCCCCAGTTTTGGTTCTTAGGTCAAACATAGCACTGGGAGACAGGAGAATGGATCTCTACAAAATACTTTAATTGTGAAACTCTATGGGCTCCAGATAGGGTTCTAGCAACTGTTGGAAGCTTGGGGGGGGGGGCAAGGACCTGGGGCACCAGCATTACATGCATCATGAAGTCACTTCCCAGAAAAAATGAAAGTGGCATCACATCACTCTAGGAATCACCAAGAACTCTGTGGTAAAACCACAGATTCTTAGAGCCATATGATACTGGCTTTAAAAAAATAATTCCTGGTGCCACTTATAACAGGAGGCCACAAGGACTAGCAAGCAACCCTACCTTCAGAGACAAAGGTAGCAGCAGCAACTGGACAGGGGTGGAAGGAGGAACTGGAAGAGAAGAGGGGGCCGCCCATGCAATCTTCAGCAGATATGCCCTTCTTAGTCCACTGAAGTTATAGAAGGCGTACCTCTGTTTAGGATGAAATTGTGAAAAAGAAATTTGGTCTTGAGATAAAGTATCTGCAGTAATTCTAGCTAATAAAACAGTTTCTGAAATTGGAAGTCTGATTCACTGTAGACTGAATCAGAGATATTATATGAAACAGCCACCATTATTTTTCTCTGTCTGCTGTAATTTTTTCCTGTATTTTTTCTTCGAAGTACCGAAACTTCTTCATGCACTAGTCACATAGGCAATCCCATCCACTCAGAGATCATACAACGTACATGATGATGTTGTGATGCTTTATAGTCCTCAGATTTGTTAACTGCACCCCATCACCGAGCGTAAACACATTGAGATTGAAAGGGATGCTTCCAAAATCACATGCACAAATCACTCAGGGAGCATGGAATGTCATAATGCTACACAGATCAGGATGCCTGGTGATGTCACAGGGGCAAACAAAGCCGATTCACCAAAAGCAAGACATTTTTAAAAACGTTTGTCACGCCCAGGGCTCCCGTCCACTCTGGCCGACCTACCCGGCTTTGGGAGGAGCGCGGGTCGGTGGTGGGAAACCGGGGTTTGTAGCTTTTATGCCTCAGACATGGGCCTGTTCCTTTGGGGTTGCGTCACCCCTTTTCAGGAGACAGAGCCACCAGTGAGTTCAGGCTGTGGAGGTGCCAGGCTTCTCTCTCTCTCTCAGAAGCTCCCCTGACTGTCTCCTTGCCTCTATGCACACACCAAAAATCCACCTCAGCCTTGATCACTTCCCCTTTTATTCCCAACACCCGTCTTGTGCTCCTGCCAACTGCCTGCTCCCTCATCCCAATAGGCTTCTGTGGCTGCTGCTCCTCCGGGTTCCAGCTCATGTCATTGGTTCCCCCGACGCAGCTCCCGCAGTCTCGCTTTCCCCGGTTGACTCCGACCCTCTGGAGCCTGGTCCGCCCGCTTCACCGTGTGCGACAGGTGCTCCATGCTCACTGGTGTCCACTCTTCGTTCAGCTGGGACTTTCCCCGAGTTGCGCCTGCTGCCCGATGTCAGGGTCTCATTTCCTGCAGCTGGGCTCATCTGGGCCATGCCCTCCTCAGCAGGGGTGTGCAGGCCTGTTGCGGCATGGGTCCATGCCGCAGCCCGAACAGCCAGGCGTGTTCAGGCAGTGCCGTCGTCCACTGGGAGCCAGCAGGTAGGTGTGGGCCATGTTTGAGTGGCTCCCTCTTCTTCATCATCTCTGGTGCCTCCCTGAAGACTCCCGGGTGGGGAGCCTGTTCCTCCCTCCGTGTTCCTCCCCTGGGGTTTTCTTGAGGTGGGCTGCCATGTAGCGACAGGCAAGCTGCTGTTCGGGCTTCCCCCATGCAACCGCTTGTGCCCCTGGGGTCTGTTCTCCGCCTCTCTGGCACTTGGGGGTTGGGGTTCCTGGCTCGGGGGGGGGGCGTCTAGTCCCGTGTCGGGACAACGTTCTAAAAATTTCTAACTCTCATAGCTCTGTGAGCCAGGCTGAATTCAATAGACCTCTTAGAGAATTCTAGGATTGCCAACTCTAGTTTGGAAAATTCATGGAGTTTGGGGGTGGTGCCTGTGGAGGGTGGAGTTTAAGGGGCTCAGTAGGGATTAGTGTGGCCATTATATCTATTACTGTCTCCAAGAATTCCATAGAAAAAATGGTGTGGCCTTTATAGTCAACAAGAGAGTAAGAAGAGCAGTAATGGGATACAATCTCAAAAATGACAGAATGATCTCGGTCCGAATCCAAGACAAACCATTCAGCATCACAATAATCCAAGTCTATGCCCCAACCACTGACACAGAAGAGGCTGAAGTGGACCGGTTCTATGAAGACCTACAACACTCCTAGAACTAACACCAAAAAATGGTGTCCTCATCATCGTAGGGGACTGGAATGCTAAAGTAGGAAGTCAAAAGGTGTCAAGCCCTGCGTGGGCTGGAGGGGTGGTTGGGTGAAGGGATGAGTCCAGGACGGGTTGGAGTGCTGGGTGGCAGGAGTCATCTCAGAATTCACCCGGGGAATTCTCAGAATTCACCCGGGGAGGTTACCTCCCCTTCCCCGTCGGCGGCGGTCTCTTGGCAGACGTGTGTGAGTGGCTAAAGGTTTCACTCGGGTCTCCCTCCTTACGTCTTCATGCCAGGATTCCACAATCCTCCTAGGCTTCTCTCTTTCTGCCTTTTATTACTCCCGCTCCATCCTCTTGGCCCACCGCCCATGCCTTAAAGTAACAGAGCCAGGGGGTTACAGCCAGAGATTCCTGGTCCCACTGTGAATTACCCTCACCGTTCCCTTTCTCGGTCTGCACCCTGTTGGGCGGCCCAGCTGACACTCCTTCCGTGCCCCCCTCCCTTCGTTGGGGGACAGCCTCGGCAGGGCTGGTAGAGGAGGGTCCCAGGTCCCTCAGGGAAGCCCTGCAGTGGTTTGCTGACTGGTTGACGTCAGAACTTGCGCATCCCTGGGACCGCGCTTCCTGTGGAGTCTGGAGGGACCCGGGGGTGCCCTCCTGACAAAAGGTAACTGGGATAATGGACAAGTTTGGCCTTGGAGAACAAAATGAAGCTGGGCAAAGGCTAACAGAGTTTTGTCAAGAAAACATGCTGGTCATAGTGAACACCCTCTTCCAACAACCTACACATGGTCATCACCAGATGGGCAACACCGAAATCAGATTGATTATATCATTTGCAGTCAAAGGTGGAGAAGCTCTATAAAGTCAGTAAAAACAAGATCTGGAGCCGACTGTGGCTCAGGTCATGAGCTACTCATTGCAAAATTCAGAGTTAAACTGAAGACAGTTGGGAAAACCAGTAGGCTATTCAGGTTTGACTTAGTTCACATCCCTGATGAAAATACAGTGGAGGTGAAGAATAGGTTTAAGGGACTAGATTTGATAGACAGAATGCCTGAAGAACTATGGATGGAGGTTCATGACATTGTACAGGAGGCAGCAATCAGCACCATCCCAAAGAAAAATAAATGCAAGAAAGCAAAGTGGCTGTCTGATGAGGCTTTACAAAGAAGGAAAGGTGAAAAGGTAAGGTAAGGTAAGGTAAGATTTACCCAACTGAATGCAGATTTCCAGAGAATAGCAAGGAGAGATAAGGAGGCTTTCCTAAATGAACAATGTGAAGTAATAGAAGAAAACAATAGAATGGGAAGGACTAGAGAGCTCTTCAAGAAAATTGGAGAAATCAAGGGAACATTTCGTGCAAAGCTGGCCATGATAAAGGACAAAAACAGTAAGGAGCCTAACAGAAGCAGAAGAGATTAGGAAGAGATGGCAAGAATACACAGAGGAACTACATAAAAAGGACCTCAATGTCATTGACAACCACGACGGTGTGATCACTGACACAAACAAAGCTAGTGGAGGTGATGGCATCCCAGCTGAGCTATTCAAAGTCTTAAAAGATGATGCTGTTAAAGTGCTGCACTCAATTTGCCAGCAAATTTGGGAAATGCAACAGTGGCCACAGGATTGGAAAAGGTCAGTTTACATTCCAATCCCCAAAAAGGCCAATGCCAAGGAATGTTCAAACTATTGCACAATTCCACTCATTTCACACGGTCATGCTCAAGATCCTTCAAGCTAGGCTTCAGCAGTATGTGGATAGAGAACTGCCAGAAGTACAAGCTGGGTTTCGAAGAGGTAGAGGAACTAGAGATCAAATTGCCAACATTCGCTGGATTATGGAGAAAGCAAGGGGATACCAGAAAAACGTCTACTTCTGCTTCACTGACTACACTAAAGCCTTTGACTGTGTGGATCACAACAAGCTGTGACATGTCCTTAAAGAGATGGGAGTACCAGACCCCCTCACGTGTTTCCTGAGACACTTATATAAGGGTCAAGATGCAACAGTTGGAACTGAATATGGAACAACTGATTGGTTTAGCATAGGAAAAGGAGTATGACAAGTTTGTATATTGTCACCCCGCTTATTTAATTTATATGCAGAGTACATCATGTGAAATGCTGGCCTGGTGAATCACAAGCCGGAATTAAAATTGCTGGGGAAAACATCAACAACCTAAGTTACTGATGTATACTGTTGGTTGTGCTTTGATTTATTTTGTGTTGTTATGGCCAATGGCTAGGACAATAAACTAAACTTGACATCAACAACCTCAGATATGCAGACGATACCACTCTAATGGCAGAAAGTGAAAAGGACCTGAAAAGCCTCTTGCTTAGAGTGAAAGAGGAGAGCACAAAAGTTGGCTTGAAACTCAACATCAAAAAAACTACAACCATGGCATCTGGCCCCATTGCTCCTTGGCAAATAGAAGGGGAAGTCATGGAAACAGTGACAAATTCCTGGGATCCAAGATCATGGCAGATGGTGACTGCAGCCATGAAATCAAGACGCCTGCTCCTTGGGAGGAAATCTATGGCAAACCTAGACAGCATAATAAAAAGTAGAGACATCATCCTGCCAACAAAAGTCCATATGGTCAAAGCAATGGTATTCCCCGTAGTAATGTATGGCTGAGAGAGTTGAACCATAAGGAAGGCTGAATGCCGAAGAATAGATGCTTTTGAATTATGGTGCTGGAGAAGACTCTTGAGAGTCCCTTGGACTGCAAGGAGCTCAAATCAGTCAATCCTAAAAGAAACCAACCCTGACTGTTCCCTGGAAGGCCAGATACTGAAGCTGAAGTTCAAATACTTTGGCCACCAGATGAGAAGGGAGCACTCACTGGAGAAGACCCTGATGCTTGGAAAGATTGAAGATAAAAGAAGGGGACTGCAAAGGATGAGATGGTTAGGCAGTGTTATCGATGCAAGGAGCATGAGATTAAGCTAACTCCGGAGGACGACAGAGGACAGGAGGGCCTGGTGTGATGTGGTCCATGGGGTCGCGAAGAGTCGGACTCGACTGTGAGAATGAACAACAAGAACGGGGATTAGTTGCCACCTTCAGAAGTTGCCATTTCCTCTCTGTGGCCTGGAGATCATTTGTAATTCTAAAAGAACTCCAGGCCTCACCTGGAGGCTGCCATCTCTAACCCTTCTAAACCTTGAACTAAGTTTTGGTGTAAGTACCTCAATATATAAACATTTTTTTTGTTTTTATAGCATTGCATTCTCAACTCCAAAGCTATCCACTTTTTTCTCTGATACAATGTATTATATATATAAATTTTATTAAAATACTTTAAATACCACCTCACTCCACCAAACTAAAAATTCCACCTGCTGGGGGAGTGAGGCGTTCTTGTGAATGCATTCCCATTTCCGAAGTTACTTTTAACAGATTTCTGGTTTCATCTGTTACTTTATAGCCCCTCCCCCCGCAGTCTGTTTATCGAATGCATGCAATCCTAAGAGTGCTATATAAATACGCCCCAGCGCCGCTTTTTTCTTATGCATCTTGCTGAAAAAAAGATGACAGCGAACAGCTGAGGATGACGAAGGCGGCGTTAAAGCAAAACACCCGGCCGCTGCATAAGCGAAGAGGCATCCTGCCTCGCCTTTCCTGGCTAGATCCCGCCCTCTCAAAGTTTTTTTCTTGAGCACATCCAATGAGGGAGCTGCTCGTGTTTGTCATTCTACACTTAGGATGTGAATAGGGAGGTCCGAAATGCTCGATCTCGCGTACCGGCCCTTGCATTTGTTATGGAAGCCCCGGGTTTGCCGTTTGTTGGTCCCGCCCCCACGGGGGTAGGATAGTTTTAATACCTTTTTTTTGCAAGCCTCCTTGTAGCTTTCCCTGCGTCATCCTAAATAAATTTACTCCGAAGTAAGTTCCACTACGTTTCGTGCCGTCTTTCCCCTGCATAAAAATCTTGGCAAGTCTTTGCTGAGTCATGCTGAATTTGTTTTTTTACTCAGGGCGTCAGACAGCAGCACTCCTCAAGGTTGCGCATAATTAGAAGTTAGGGGGCAGTGGTGGAGAGAGGGGAGCCCTGTGGGACCATTCATGTGCCATAGGGAAGCACGGCGGGTGGGGTGCAAACCAGCTTCCCTTTGACATGTTTATAAACAGAAGCGTCATAAATTGCTAGGTGGTTCCCCACCCCTCCTTTCCCCAGATCCATTCCCTTAGCGGCTTTGTTTACTAAAGGACTGGCTGGTTTCTTTTCAGGCTCTTGTAGTTCACGCAGATTCGTGAGGGCTCCAGGCTTCACTTCTCTTTTCCCGGGAAGAATGGCTGCAGTGAGGAGAGTAATCAAAACTGTGCTCAGCAAGGAACAATCCGAAGGGGTCGGGGCTCGAGTGCGCAGAAGCATTGGGAGGCCGGAGGTAAGTTGCTGATACTGGCCGATCCGAGCGTCCTGTGTTTAGTGGATCTCTTCTGTCTGGAGTGCTTGGTGGTGGTTCTCAAGTAAATTCTGTCCCAGGTGGTCTGATATGTACTGGTAGCTGAACAAAATCCGAGTCCAGTGGCACCTTTAAGACCAAGGAAGTTTTATTCAAAGTATAACTGTGTGCACACACAGTTCTTCAGATACAATGAAATGGAAGTGACCAGTCCATAAATATAGGTAGAGGCTTAGCAGTAAATCAGCATACAGTGTAATGAAAATGAAGATGCTTAACAGGTTCAAGGACCAAACAGGAATAACAAGCTTACTTTATATGTTCACCGTTTGTTTGGGTTTAATTCTGGGGGGAAACATAATGAAACAAGTAAATATATCAAAATTGGAGATTGATCTGTAAATGTATCCTTTTAAATTGTGGAAAGCTGAGCGTAATCAACTGAGACCCTGTTGTTATGCTCCATCCATCTCATCTCAAGCATGGAGGTAACTAACAACATCCTTTTCTTTAAGGTGGGGTGTCTGGTTGTGCAGTGTTCTGTCTCCTCTGTCACCAGACCAGAGAAATACATTCCAGTTTACCATTTCAAATGACATTCCACTATTAATTGCATTAAGGTAAAGGTTCCCTTGCTCGAAAGCCAGTTGAATCCGACTATAGGGTTGCGGTGCTCATCTCCGTTTCAAAGCCGAAGAGCCAGCGCTGTCCGAATACATTTCCGTGGTCATATGGCTGGCATGACTAAACACCAAGGTGCATGAAACCCTCTTACCTTCCCACCGAAGTGGTACCTATTTATCTACTTGCAATTTCTTGCTTTCGAACTGCTAGGTTGGCAGGAGCTGGAACTAGAGACGGAAGCTCACTCTGTCATGCAGCACACTCGGGTCTCGAATTGCTGAACTACTGACCTTCCACAGCCTGCAGTTCAGCGTCTTAATCACTTGAGCCACTGCAGCTCCATTGCATTACATTACACTAAAATAAAGAGGCTGCATAGCCTTTCTTGCTGAGTACACAGATGTAAATACTGGCAGCTGTAAGGAAAACGTCCACATGCAGAGCTTCTCTTACAGTATAACTAATGCCAAAGCGTAGAATAAAAATAAAATAAATAAAATAAAATAAAATAAAATAAAAAAGCAACCCAGGCTAGCAGTCATAAGTTTCAAGCTCTCCCACAACAGGTGTTTGGGTCCATAGGCAGTCCTTATGGAAGACCCCTTTTGCTAGAAAAGTGGTCCTAACGTTCCAAAGAAAGGGGGGGCTGCTCTTATAGTCACAACAGTCTCCCAGCTTCATAGCTAAGTGACTGGGAGGAAGCCTACGTCTAGAACCTGTAGATGATGAATCCCTCAAGAAAAGGGTCAAACCTACGAATTCATGTGCAGCATTGATAACATTGTACACAGCGGGCTTATGTTTGGCAAACAGGCCTTGTGAAATGGCATGGGAAGGAAGGGACTTGGAAAGGGAGGCATAAAAGCCACACAGAAGGGTCACAATAAGCAATCTTCTGAGTGGCTCACTGGGAACAAACATGGTGTTTGCAAAAAGGCCTGCTCAGGGAACTGGAAAGGCATCTTCTACAAGGCAGATCCTGTTTTTTAGGGGTCTCTTCGGTAACTGTGACTTCATATTTCAAAGGGGAGAGCCAGAATAGAACCAACATCGTTCACAGCACTAATTACACACTTCATCATATTATTGTTTATTATGAATAAAATTCCCCCCCCCCATCTTTCTGCCCCTGTAGGGCCACCAAGGTGGCTAGGAATTAAAACATACAAATTAAAATCTCATCTTAAAAACCATTAAAACCAAAACCCATTATTAAAACAAAGATGAACCCAGAGCTTAAAGTAAGTACAAAAAGATAAAAACAACAGTTGAAATGTTGGGTAGAAAGGAGGGATTCCTTAGGGAATGCCAAGTGAAACAAAGTTTTCACCCGCTGGTGGAAGAGAGCAACAGAATGAGACATGCAAATCTGCTTGGGGAGTTCTAGAGTTTTGGTGCCACTGCTGAGAAGGCCCTCTCCTGGCTTGCTACCCTCTTAATCTCAGAAGGTGGGAGCACCCAAAGCAGGCCCTTTAGAAGTGACCATAGTGGTTGGGTAAATTCATAAGAGATTAGGCAGTTCTTTGAATGTGAAGACCCGCACCTTGAATTGTACCTGGAAAGAAATTAGAGCCGGTATGGATGAGCCAAGACTAAAGTGATATGGTCTTTAAGACCCACTCCAGTCAACAGCCTGACTGCAGCGTTCTGCACCAATTGAAACTTCCGAACACTTTTTAAGGGCAGCCTCACATAGAATGCATTACAGTAACCTCTGTCTCCCACAAAATGACACATGTTTTCCCACTGCGGCCTCCTGTAAATGGGATAATCCCAGTTATAGCACCTAGTACCAAAAGGGGTCTCATGTGGAACTGGTAAATCCCACACAGGCAGTCAAGAGGCTGCAGGTTCAACCTCTGGTAATGGACTCTCAAGACAGGGAAGAGATGTGTGCATACATTTCAAGGCAGTGTGCCATTGTAGCCAGAGTGAATGGAGCAAAGTCCTCATTCAGGTACTGTTCTCACACCAGTTAGATTCTAGGATCTTTATCCTTTTCCCCGTTCCCTTCACCCATGATTTCCCTCTCTTCCTTCATTGATTTTTCATACTTCATTATTTATATAAATTGTATTAAAAAGTTCCCTTTATGCATGCTATATCATAGCACAAGTAACTGGGTGTCTGTGGGCAGAGGGAGAGGTTAGAACAGCTGTTGAAGCCTGCACCTCACCTTTACAGGTGGTCTGGTAGTTGACTGTGCAGGAGTTGGAGAATTTCAGGTGGGCTATTTAGTGGAGAACCCTCTCATGCCCCTCCCTTTTTGTGTGTTCCATCCTGAAGATGACTGGGAAGTTATTAACAGTGGCGGGAAAGGTCCCTGTCTGCTATCTGGAACGGTCAGCTGAAAGTACCTAAGCAGTTGGTTTATATAACAAGTTTGAAGCAGCACTGAGAGCTGGGATTGCCATCCTTTGAGTTCATGCAAAGTACCCGTATTTCTGAGAGAACTACAGAACACAGATTGTTAGCCGAATTGCTTTATTTACAGCAACTGGCAACTTATAAATGGGTTCTTGCCAATTTATACCAAGGTCCTGTTCCCACCAAGGGTTACCAGTAAAGGATTCGAGTCGGTTGTCTTTTACTTAAAAATATATTTCATACAAAATACTGATGCGCTCACACATTCAAACAAGTTCCTTAGAATTACAGTATTAAAATAAGGACGGTTGCATTAGCAGGTAGGGGTGATGGTGGGCGATACTTCTCTGTCTTGCAGCTTGGTTGTTCCAATGAAGAATGGAGGGGAAGAAATGGAAAACAAAGGGAGTTCACACACGACTAGAACCAGCCAGAATGTGTGGGTCTCCTGACTGCAGATCAAGAGATCAAAGTAGAGGCAGGGGTTTTGGGATAGCACGTGGGACTCAAGGGGAGTAAAAGCAGATAGGGGATGTTGCAGGGGAGATGCTATCCGGCCAGGTAGGAGGGGTCAGGTAACTGGTCCCTTCCTTTTATAGTGGGTCCAAGAGATGGGTGGTTACTGTGCCAACCTCTTGATCCACCTACCTGTTAGTCCGTCCTATTGGTTGCATATGGGAAGGGGAAGTTACCTAATAGGGGTGGTCAATATTGTCATCTAAAACCTTACTCAAAGTACGGCAACTGGACAGGTGTGAAATCCAGGCGTCAGGAAACTTCTGATGAAGCTGGCCATTCTATTGATAACTAAATGTCCATTTGGCAGGAAATACCAATGCAGGAACAAAGCAAGTGATGGGTAGTACGTGATTACAAACAGTTCAGCAATGGGGGCTGTCTCTTCTCAGAGTTGTTGTTATTGCTCACAATAATAGAGGTGTGTGCTTCTTCACCAGGCTGGTAACTGTATAGCTGAAACCTTATTCACGTGTAAGGTATGTGCAGGCACCTTCTATGTGTGGTATCACAACAGGTGACTTAAAGTGTACGGTTCTCTGAGTCTATGTGTGTGTGTGCACAGTCCATTGTGTGTAGCTATAAATAGTCCATAAAGCAAATATCAAGCTCATTCTCTAACAAGATAAGCAGCAGGTGAACAGGTGTAACTATGTCTCCATGCAGGGTATGACTCCACCTGTTCGTTGCATAGTCTCTGTGCACACTGGAATTCTACAGGCCAAAATGCAAGCAGAGGTAGCTAGCTGTGCACTAGCTGCTTTTGCTGTCATAGTCTCTTGTGATCTGCGTAGCATGGAAGCTGGGGAACATCCTTGTCTCTTAATGTATTGTAGCAATGTGGGGGATCAGGATAAATGAGCTTCAGAAACTATGACATATTACTTATGTGCTTCAGAGTTCATGTGCAAGTATTTGAGAGGGAGTTCAGCCATCTATGTCTATTTCACAGGTAATGGCCTGTGCTCTCCAATGCTCTCCAATGGACAGCTCCACCAGGGGTCTACATCTGAGATTCACTTTATTTGTGGCATTTGTATGGTGATACCGCTTTTCATCCCAAAGGCACCCTAAGTGGCTCGCAGACAGATAAGCTGTAAATTAACAAATGAAATGAAATAGACAGATTCTTTTTTAATAAGAATTTCTATTTTATATCAGACAAACAATAAACAAACAAACATAAATACATACAAATTTGGGGGTTCCAGTACATCTTTGTTACATCTATTATGTTACCTCCTCCATTGTCTAAAATAGACAGATTCTGAGCTGATCCCGATGGATGACCCTGTGACCCAAGAGCCCTTTGGCTCACTCCTTTGCCCTTGTGCAGGCTTTAAGTACCTGGAAGGAGAAGAAGACAAACTTAGCTACCAGCAGGATCTCCCTCACTTCCCCTCCTCCAGTTTTGGGGAAATCATGTCATAATGAATTATGTACTTACCCATACAATGTAGGGCATTATGGTGGAGTTCTGTGGGCATCTCTCCCCCCCCCCCTGTTTGACTTCAGTCCTTCAAGGAAGAATAAATTGTGAGTGTGCGTAACTGGATTGCAAGTCCTGGCATTCACCAACCAAGGTGCTGCTTCACTGCCCCCCATTGCTTGCACCGTTATGAGATGGGAGCTTTCCTGCTGGAGGAAGGCGGCAGTATTTCAGTAGTGCCTTTACTACAAAGTTGCCTGCATTATTTGCATGTGCACTGACACTCTCCATTGAGGAAAGGGATGTATTCAGTGATAAGACTATTTTTCCTAGCTGCTGGGGGAAAGCCACTCTGTAGGCATGGGTGTTTGGATGTTCTGCACACCCATCTGATAATTTTTTGGGGGTAAGGGAGGGAACATGTGCAGCAGGCCTTTTTAAAGTTGTAAACAAACACACACATGCTTTTTTGTGCCTAGTGTCTTTTTCTTGCAAGCCCAATATTGGGAGTAGAGTTAGGGTTCCTGATGGTAGGGAAACTCTTAAGGGATTTTGGTAAGAAAAGCTGTCAGGACCTGCCCTTCCTGTATTTGTTTTTATCCTTGGCCACTCATGGAAAGTGCTTTCTTCCTATCTAATTGTTGGATGATAGTGAGATATTGAAAAAATGGTATTTAGCAGAGATAAGATAGTCCAGCAGAGCCAAAGTAAAATAATTCAGACTGAGAGTCCATGTGTGATTAAAATATAAAGTTTTTACTAAATTCTAGCATGGGAAGGCTAACTGGGATGAAAATAACAAAAGAGCATAATTGGCTACATCCTTACTCTACAAAGACAAAACTAGAAGAGAGAGATTATGGCTGCTCTTCTTCTTGAGAACACCAAACAAAGACGGGAAGAGAAGCCATAAAATGGTAATACACCTTGACACTTTAGTCCCAGTCAAATCCCTAGATCAGGGAGAAAATTCCCGGGCAATCCACATCTAAAGAACATTGGTTACATGAGAAACATGTGACTTCCTGTGAATAACATAAACAAACATTTAACCCCAGATATACGGAGTGTTTTCAACTTGTAATACCCAACACTAATGTGCCTTGAAGTGTGATAGGTGCAGTGTCATGGTTGGCTGCAGTTGGACTAGCCTCCACCGTGGATGTGGAGGCGAGAGGGAAACTGTTGCTTAGCAGCCTCCCTTTACTTCAGTGGGCGTTTCTGACTCAGGCCGCAACTTTTGCAGACGTAACATTCCAGCTTGGCTCTGTTCCTCCCCTGCCAACCTTTTCTCATTTTTGCCCTTTATGATGTGTAGTAGCATTTCTCAGGTGGCATGGATCTGCTTTGCCAGTGCATCCTTGAGTTCCAGTTGGGCATTTAGCAATGACCTTCTTGTCACTGAACGGGCATAACTCAAGGACAGGATGGCAATACTGAGTTCTGTTCATTGTTCACACTTGAGTCTTGCCTCCTTCCATCAGTATTTTGGAAAAAGTTACCAAGTTCTGTTCTTAACTTCAATTTTCAGTTAAAAAATCTGGATCCGTTCCTGCTGCTTGATGAGTTCAAAGGAGGCAAGCCAGCTGGTTTTCCTGACCACCCTCACCGAGGTTTTGAAACTGTGAGTAATCCATGTTTATGCTAGATTTACTGCAATCCTAGACCGATTTCACACAAGAGCTGCGCCGCAGTTGCATCTCCCTTTGCCCCGCTTCTATTGGTCAATTTCCCACTTGAAGCCACGCGGCCGCATTTTAACCTGCGGCTTCGCCCGATTTTCACCGCAGTTTCATGGTCCTCAAAAAACAGAAAACTTATCGAAAACTTAGCTCAATCGTCTCTCTGACATTCTAGTTCTTTGTTTACAGGGAGTTTTGTTTTATGGAGGAGCATTCAACCTAACAGGTAGTGGTATAGGCCTGGTACCAATTTACCACCTCAGCCATAGTCATTACAATTTCTTCCTATAGTTTTACTGTGGATGGGAAACAAAAGGAGAGAGACAAACTCACAAGTATTCAGCATGGCACAGCTATGTGTACTTCATATCAGCACTGTGGGAAGTGTTTGTACATCTGGTGGAATTAGGAGTGAGAAGAAGCCAGAGGATTTGACCAGAAGAAGGAAAGGGTGCAGATAGAAATGATTTATGTTGTTATGAAATGTATTAGCTTTGATATAATTTTTAAGTGGTGAACTTTTAGAAGGACATTAATATCATAAGAACCAACAATAAATTCACAAGTTTTTTCCCCTAGATCTCTGTGAAACGTCATTTGAAAGTTGATTCTGAAAGTTGGATCTCATTCCCTAACATTTGTATTCTTCTTAAGTCCTTTAATTCCTTTGACAGATCCCCAGTGTTCTCACACAATCAATCTAGTATTCCAGTGTCCCACCAGATCTTTTGCTGAAAAAAATATTTCTGGAACAAATGGGAACCCACAAGGATTTGCAGGAGGCATCTCATTTCTCCTTCCCCCACTATTTCCTGTTTCCCTTTCCTGAAAGCCCCGTAGCTTCTCCCCATTTCCTGCTTCCTTATTTCCTTCCAGGATTGCCAACCTCCAGGTAGTGCTTGGAGAGCTCCTAGAATTACAACAGATCTCCCACTAAAGAGATCAGTTCTCCTTAGGGTTGCCAGCTCCAGGCTGGAAAATTCTGGTTATTTGGGGGTAGAGCCTTGGGAGGGTGAGGTTTGGGGAGGGAAGCGGCCTCAGCAAGTCCACCCTCCAAAGCAGCCATTTTCTACACGGGGGCTGATCGCTGTCATCTGGAGACCAGTTGTAATTCTGGGTGATCTCCAGCCCCCACCTGGAGCCTGATAACTTGTGGAGGAAATGGCTGCTTTGGAGTGTGGAGTCTGCATTACACCCTTCTGAGGTCCCTTCCCTCCTCAGACCTCACCCTCCCCAGTCTCCACCCCCCACATCTCTGGAAATTTCCTAACCTGGAGCTGGCAACCCTGTCTCCTTCCCACTTGATGGCCAGCCTACCATTATCTGCCCTTCTGTCTTAACCTTCTTGCTCCAGCAGCCTCTACCTAGGAAAATTGTGGTCCAGTTGTGTGGTGCCAGCCACTGGGCCAGGCCCACTTGCATGGCAGGAACCCTCAAGGACGTGTGGGGTGGCAACTCATTTCCCCCTGTATTCCCACACAACCCCCAGATCCTCTCCTCTTTTCCTGCCTTAGTCTCAGCCATTCACCAACCCAGACCCATAGCTACATTGGATCATTTCGGGGCCCAGCCCCCCAACTTATTTCAAAGGCTCCATGACTTTCCATCTGCCACCTCCTCTTGCCTTCCCCCGTGGCTAAATGGCCAGGGGAGAGGCCTCTGCACCACCCGTTGGGGCCCCTCATGGTTTGGTCCTCCCTGGCAAAGTAGCGGGGCTTCCTGTCCTAAGCTGGAGCTCCGCTTAACTGCCGGGTTTAGGGAAGCACCGGCCACCTGGCTCCTGGTGCGCGCCGTTTGGAATGTGGATTGACACTGGAGGAGCAGGGCTCCTCCACCCAAAGCTGGGATTCGGAGGTGGGAGCTGTGGCCGAGGACCCAGGTGTGGCTGGCGAGGCGCCAGCGAGCTGCTCAATCCCAATCCCAGTGGTGCACAGCGCGCTGCCGCCCCTTTTGCCTGCTCCGCAACTTCAACTGGGAGCTGCTCCCAGCGCAGGGCGTCCGTGGGCACTCATGCTGCAACCTCTGGACAGCAGGCGGCAGGCCAAGGGGCTTCAGCCTCGACCTGCACCTCCTTGACCTCTTCAGCAGCCGGGGGAAGCCTGTGCAGCCGTCCCAGCAAGCAGGTGAGGGCCAATGGAAGCAGGAGGGGTTGCAGAGAGTCAGTGCCTGGGGATGCCCTGGGAAGGGGGGAGGAGTAAAGCTGTCTGGGTGGCCCAAGATCTTCAACTTTAAGTAAATTAACTTTAATTAATTAGCCAGTGCCCCGCAAGAATTTTAAATGACCTCCGAATTAGACATTCCTAGCTACAGGCCTGCACCAACCTACCTTTTATTGCCCTCCCATCTTCATCTATATTTATTATTTATTTACTTCATACATTTATACCTCACCTTTCTCCCCAGTGAGGATCAAATCAGCTTACATTATTCTCCTCTGTTCCGTTTAGTCTGCACAACAACCCTATGAAGTAGGTTAGGCTGAAAGTATGTGACTGGTCCAAAATCACCCATGAAGGTTCCAAAGCAACATGGGAATTCAAACCTGGGTCTCCTTGAAGCTCTAACCACTACAGTGGTTTTTCATAGGGTAGCTGCTGTTGAACTGTAGGAGGCAGCCAGGCATAGTTGAGTCATGCAAGCTGGGTGGTATCAAGTCACTAGAGGCTGCTTCCAGGCCTAGGGTTTCCAACCTCCAGGTGGGACGTGGAGATCTTCCAGAATTACATCTGAACTCTAGACATAGAGATCTGTCCTCCTGGAGAAAATGATTGACCCTGCCCTCCTCAGACTCCACCACAAAATCTCTAGGAATTTCTTAGCCTGGAGCTCACAGCCCTAGTCAGGCCTTACCTTGATGGGTCCTCCCTCAGAGGCCACAATAGTCCTGGAAAGGGCCCTCCCCCCTGCCTTTTTCCTCACATAAACCCAGCCTGGAATACTGTGGTTGCCTAGCACAGGTCACTGAGGGAATCCGTTTGTTAAAGCGGCAGACATTCTTTTATCATTTTCAGCTTTTTAAAACCCCATTTTTTTTTTAATAGAGTTCACATTTTTCTGCAAACCTGGTGCCGGCCCTTTTGAGGTTTGTAGAAAGATCTGTTTTGCCCGTTCACAGCTCCATTCACTGGATTTAATTATCCAAAGACTAACTTTGCGATTAGAAAATAAGATAATAAGTAATACTTTTTGAAGTACTCTTATAATTTCAGAAATGTGTGTAGTGAGTTGATGCAGCAGCTAATCTTAAGGGGAGAACGGGGTGTCATTTGAAGAGTTGTTTGGCTGGTTCACTAAGATTTTGCTAACAAATATTGTGATACTTCCTTCACTTGACAGCAGATGGCACCGTTCAGCAGCAACTGGGAGAAGTCTGGCTTGACCTAGAGCAGATTCAGGTGGGTAGGCCCTGTTGGTCAGGAGAGCAACAGAACAAAGTTTGAGTCCAGTGGCACATTTAACACCAACAAAGCTTAATTTTAGATATACGCTTTCACGTGCTTATACCCAGAATTAAACTTTGTCGGTCTTAAAGTTGTCACTGGACTCAAACTTTGTTCTTGACCTAGATCAATACAACTTTTTAAGAAAAGGATCTTGAGTTGGTGAGGGAATGAAGCAATGCCTTCAGTGGCCGATGGTGCAGCAGTTCAGTTCACTGTAATATATACAAGCTCATATGAATGAATAAATAAATTGTTCTTATTGTTCAGTCGCACAGTCTAGTCCGACTCTCCGCGACCCCATGGACCAGCTCCCACCAGGCCTTCCGGTCTTCCGCCGTCCTCTGAAGTGTGCTCAATTTCATGTTCGTTGCATCTATGACACTGTCTAACCATCTCATCCTTTGCCGTCCCCGTCTTCTTTGACCTTCAATCTTTCCCAGCATCAGGGTCTTCTCCAGTGAGTGCTCCCTTCTCATTGGGTGGCCAAAGTATTTGAGCTTCAGTTTCATTATCTGGCCTTCCAGGAAACAGTCAGGGTTGATTTCTTTTAGGATTGACTGATTTGATCTTCTTGCAGTCCAGGGGACTCTCAAGAGTCTTCTCCAGCACCATAGTTCAAAAGCATCTATTCTTTGGCGCTCAGCCTTCCTTATAGTCCAACTCTCGCATCCATACATGACTACTGGGAATACCATTGCTTTGATAAATAAATACTCAATAATAAATAAGTACTCAAGAAATATGCATAGGGAGACATATACATTTTCTAAAGAAATAATTGATCTTCAAGTAAACCGAATTTTAATCGCAAGAAGACAGAGGTGGTACTGGTGACTCGAAAGACTGATCTGAGATTTGAGGTGTCTCCTGTTTCTGGATGGAACTGCACTCCCCCTAAAAGAGCACGTTTTGCGCTCTGAGGGTGCTGCTGGACCCAGGCCTCTTGCTGGATAAACAGGTGACGGTAGTAGCCAGGGATGTCTTCCACCAGTTTTGGCGGGTGAGCCAGAGACAGCCTTTTCTGATTAGGAAAGAGCTTGTCACTGTGGTGCCTGCCTCAGTAATATTTAGATTAGATTCCTGCGAAGTACAAGGACGCTGTCTAGTTGTATCACTCTAGGCTTGTTCCATCTGCACTGCCTTCCAATCTGTTTCTGTGCCCAATTCAAGAAGATGGTATTAACTTTTTAAGCCCTCTGTGGCCTCAGGCCTGCATATGTTAAGGACCATCTACTTCTATGTGAACCTGCCCCAACCATTATGATAATCTTCAGGGGCTTAGCTTTGGGTGGCCCCGTCATTTAAGGCTAGATGGGTGGCAACTGGAGAAAGGGTCTTGTTGGTTGTGGCACCAAAATTATGGTGTTCAATCCTCATGGAGTCTCATCTATCCCCTCATGTACCCTTATTGACTCTCTCTGTTGTTGTTTTTTGCTGGTTTTTAAAAAAATACATATGTGTTTTTAGAGCCCTGACCTGGATAGCAACCTGAGCTGCAT